TTTGAGATCACATCGAAGAGTATACGTTGCATAACGTTATTTATGTTAGGATATAAATACACCGGATGTAGACGAGAAAGACATACATCAAAGAAGAACACTGACGTAAAACGATGTATCAGAATGATGGATTGAATCGCAACTATAAATACTGTAGAAGTCATATATGTTAAAAGCTTTTGAATGGTGGATAATATCGGATTGCTATTAATTAAACAATAAAAATTCTATTTTTATCATCCGTGTCCATTACAAGATATATTTGTAACAACATTACAAAATATTACTTTAATTGTTCCTTTATTTAAAAAAATATATGAAAGATCAGAAAGAATCAGATCAGAAGATCTTATGAAAGAAAAGAATATATGAATACATTATATGATCGTGATTTTCGCACGTTTCATCGATGTCAAGTCATACACCTCATATTATTTTATTTGTATAAAAGAATAGATGTATATTAAAATGTAAGTTTTTTACTAAAACTGTCACGCGAGAATCGAATCGCGATTAAGCCGGAGTGTAAAAAAAAAGAGGTAGCGTCTCTCTTGCCTATAAGGAAACGTACCGGCATTCTGTTGTTGCGTTGTTTCCTCGATGACGGTGACTTTTCCGGATTGCGTGTGACTTTGAAACTTCGATGATGTCGAGTAGAAACTAAATCGGACGCCGCGCGTCGCCACGCTATATGGCATCATCCCCTCCGCCGATACTTAAGTGCTTTTGGCTTGTTGCCTAGTTTTTGGGTGGGTATTCCCACACCCCCGCTCGTAACCAAATTGTGACACCACGGCCCTATTTACAGGACACGGTATGACCCTAAATTAAATTACGATTCGCGTTTGGACAGAGAGAGAGAAAGAGAGAGAGAGAGAGAGAGAGAGAGAGAGAGAGAGAGAGAGAAATACGCGGGAAAGTTATCTTGGTATTGCAGACGCATCGTAGCTTATACTGTATTTTATAACAAAAGCGACGAAAACAAAACAGTGACAGACGAAAATAAGAAGGAAAAAATGAAAATCAAATAAATGATTTTATTCGTAACTTCCAGACAATATAAATTTCATGTGTGAGATTTGTTAGAAATATGAATAAGTTTATCATATTTTATAAAAAAATGTCCTAAATTTTAATAAATATTTGTACAGTACTAATTAAATATTTATTAAATGCAAACATATTCATTTGATACAAGAACCATTAATCTGATTTAAGATGATTAATTTAAGCATTTCTTTTATTAAATAAATTTTTCAATTGCAAATATTCAATAGTTAGTACTATTTAAACAAATATTTATTAAAATTTACGAAATTTTTCTTTACGAACCTATAAAATTAATTAAGAAATCAATATGTGTGTGTAAGTGTATAAATGTATCTTTTTCCAATTATGAAGGCTACTTTTAGCAGAATTTAACAAGAAAGTTTCCTTACTGACAACTGCATGACATCTGATGTCGCATTCTATTTTTAGTATATATGTATACATGGCGTGTTCTATGAATCCTAATTTCAAATATTCGAACGCGCTTTAGCGTTAATTGATAAATAGTTTAAAATAGCATAAAAAGATCCAGTTCAGCGACTCGTAAACTCGTATACAACTTGTATTATGATATTCGATTAGGTGTCGCACATAGCTGTGAGACTTATTCTTGCGCTATAATCAATATGACATGTTTAAAGAACGACAGAAAGAGGACGAAAAATATACATAGTCTTAAAAATATTTGAACTTTATTTGAACTCTATTTTTCACTTTAAAAAGTGACTTAAGATGTTTTCGCGGACATTAGTTTGTTGCTTAATATTGAAATAGATAAAAATAGATAAAAATAGAATATTTACTTTCAATATAGGACATTTATTTTCGATTTGTCTAAATCTAAAGATGAACAAATAGCGAGATATAACAGAAAGCAAGTTCGAAGCTGCGCATTACGAAAATATCACTTGCAACTTTTAACGAGTTCGTCATCTTATGGAATATATTTCCGCAAAACGGAAAAATTCGAACAAGTGGGCGCAATTTGCCGCATATGTTTAACATACGTGGACATTCGCCAGATGGAAACGCCGATATGTGAGCGTCATAATTTCTGGACTTCGTCCACTTCGAAGAGTGATGCCACCGCCGAGTTTAGATTTCTTCAATCGTCGCTGTTTCCAAGTAACGCAACGGATCTGCGTAAACGTCTGGAGCGACTTACTGATGTGTCTGTTCGAAATATTATATAAATGCGATAACGATTGGCACGTCGTCGATAGTTTCTCTCAAAATAAATGATCTGTATATATCGTGCGACACTTTAGAAATAATCCTTATATCTTTGGATACTGCGATAATAAATGTACAAAATAATAGACGTTTGAAAAAAAACTTATAGATATACGAAGTAGAATCATTTTTTATTTTTCACAAATTATTCTCAAATTATTTTGCAGTAATTAAAATAGAATATTTATATATAATTATAATATAAATTTATATT